TTTCCTTCCATCCTTCTTTCTTTTATTTTTAAGGAAGTGCTTTCGACATCTGTGTGGAAAGGGAAGAAAACGGGTTGGAAAGAGGGAGAAGTTGGGTGGAAGTGCAGGCACAGCAAGGCCTCAATCAGCCCCTCCAGAGCTGTGAAACTAGTAATACCCTCACATTGAAAAGTCATAGGATTTTGGCTGCCTTAGAAATGGAACCTGGCTTTGAGGCAGCTCTTTTCAGCCAAGGGTCATTTCTGGAGACTGACAGCTGAGAGCATTCCAGGCATCTGGGGGGAGTATGTCCCTCAGTCCTGAAAGAGGCATCTGGGCAACTTAGTATAGTATCCATTACACAAATTTAGCTGTAAATCAAAATATAATTTCTTGGAAAGTTAAATATTTATTTTTTTATTGTGGTAAAGTATACATAATATAAAATTTGCGATTTTAATTATTTTTAAGTATACACTTCTGCGGCATTAAAAACATTTGTATTGTTGTGCAATCATTACTACTGACCATCTCCAGAACTCTTTTAATCTTCCCCATCTGAAGCTCTGTACGCGTTACATACTCATTGCATCATACAAGGAGAAACATACATTTGTTCTTTTATTACTGTCTTATTTCACTTAGCATAATGTTTTCAAGGTTATTCTAAGTTGTAGCATGTGTCAGACTTTCCATTGCATGTATGTACCACATACTGTTTATCCGTTCATTCATCAATGGACATTTGGGTTGCTTCCACCTTTTGGCTATTGTGAATAGTGCTGCTATGAACATGAGTGTACAAATATCTGTTCAAGTCTCTGCTTTCACTTCTTTTGGGTATATACCAAAAAGAAAAATTGCTAGATAGTATGGTAATTCTACATTTAATTTTTTGAGGAATTGCCATAACATATTCCATAGCGGCTGCATCATTTTACATTCTCACTAGCAATGTGCATGAGTTTTAATTTCTCCACATTCTTGCCAACACTTTTTCTTTTCTTTTCTTCCTCTTTCCTTTCTTTCTTTTTTTTCTTTTCCTTCCTTCCTTCCTTCCTTCCTTCCTTCCTTCCTTCCTTCCTTCCTTCCTTCCTTCCTTGTTTTATTAATAGCCATCCAAACCTAAAATTGTATCTCGTTGTGGTTTTGATTTTCATTTTCCTAATGTCTAGTGACACTGAACATCGTTTCATGTGCTTATTGGCCATTTTTATATCATCTTTGGAGAAATGTTTATTCAAGTCCTTTGCTCACTTTTTAATTGGGTTATTTGTTTTTCTGCTGTTGTTGAGTTATTTACATATTCTACATACCAATCCCTTATCAGCTATATGATTTACAAATATTTATCTCATTCCATGGGTTGCATTTTCACTCTGTTAATAGTGTCCTTTGATACTCAAGTTTTTAATTTTGATGAAGGCCAGTTTGTCTATTTTTCCTTTTGTTGCTTGTGCTTTTGGTGTCATAGCCAAGAAATCATTGCCAAATCTAATGTCTTGAAGTTTTACCCTTATGTTTTCTTCTAAAAGATTTATAATTTTAATGCTTACATTTAGATCTTTGATTTACTTTAAGTTAATTTGTATGTATGGGTAAGGTAATGGTCCAACTTTTTTTTTTTTGCATGTTGGATATATAGTTTTCCCAGACCATTTGTTGAAAAGACTGCCCTTTTACCATTGAATGGTCACGGCATTCTTGTCAAAAATCATTTGACCATATATGCAAGGGTTTATTTCAAGGCTCTCCAGTCTATTACATTGGTCTATAGTCTATCTTTATGTCAATACCATACTATTTTGATTACCAGACCTATGTAGTAAGTTTTTAAATCAGGAAATGTGAGACCTCCAACTTCTTTCTTCTTTTTCAAGATTATTTTGGTTGTTTGGCACCCCTTTAGAGTCCATAGGAATTTTAGAATGATTTTTATATTTCTATAAAAAAAGGTCATTAGGATTTTGATAGAGATTGAGGGGTGCTGTCTTCTATTATGCCCAGTGTTGTTATTTGGGCTAGTATCGGAACCATGCTAACATCTTGGTGAACAATATGTTTTAAACATCTCACTCCAGGGCTATGGGAAACTGAGTCACAAGCAACTATCAGAAATTGCTAATTTGGG